AGTGGTTTAAATGCCCAAAGAGTTGGATGAAATAAATGTACCAGATGAGTTTTTGAGGGAGCTGTATTGCCAAAGCAAACAGAGATCAGGGTTGAAAGAGTCAGCAATCGTTCACACCTCTAGTTTGAGGCTGTACGATCTGTGCAGTCTTGAAGAAGGATGTAGCCTGCGAAGCTTACCTCAGATGTGGTCTTGGAAACAATCAAACAACAAAGAGCCCTCCAGGGCCTTGGAGGGCAAAGGCGAGGAGACACTTCCCGGAGGAGAACCAGGCACGACCACCTGAGAAAGGGAGTCCTTGTGACTTCTGTTCAGGATTCCACCTCTATGGACCATCACTGTGCTACCTCTGCACCCCTCCTGCTTTTGAATGGAAAGTCCTTTCCTCCTCCTCCTCCTCCACCTCCTCTTCCTCCTCCTCCTCCTTCAACTGTGTCTATCATCTATCTATCTATCTATCTATCTATCTATCTATCTATCTATCTATCATCTATCATCTATTTATAATCATCATCAAGCCTCCTCCTCCTCCTCCTCCTCCTCCTCCCCTTTCTCCCCCTCTTTCTCTTTCCTCTCTCCCTCTCCGTGGCTATTCTGCTTCCGTGCACCATTCATTGTATATTGACTGTGATCGGCATAAATCGGTTACCTTTCACCTTCTTGATCATCAAGCCATGGAGAGGCATACCTGGGTCTGATGGGGAGTGTGCCGCACAAGAAATTCTGGACTTTGTGAAGCAAGCAGTAACTGAGCAGGGCTTTGAGTGCAGCTGGTCTGGGGTTGTGTCTAATAAGAAGAGGATGCATAGATACTTGGGGAAGTAGACGGTGGTGGAAACCATAAGCTGACACCCAACATCTGCTCTTACCTTTTCCCACAGTAAAAGAATCTGTGGTCTTCAGCTGGCTGGTGACAGTGTGAAATGGAGACCGTACCACCAGCATCCTTTGCAGGTCGATTTGGTCATGTAACTAATTCTGGCCAATAGGGTGTGCTGTTCATGGGTGTTTAGTGTTCTTGGATTGTCATTAAAGCATGCAGAGGTGCCTTCTGCCCTCTGGGTTCTTGCGGGCTGGAATGTGGGCATCATGGCTGAAGTTTCAGTGCTTAGAGTGGACTGTGCTCATCAGTGACGTTTGGGCTGTAACCACCCATAGCAAACGCACAGAGGAGCTTGGGTCTCTGACAAGCCTGCACAGCCACCTCCAGGCTTTTAGTTTTTTAAATTTATTTTTTTAAATTAAAAAAACCTTTTAATAACATTTTACATTCAATATTATTTTGTGTTAGCTTCAGGTCTGCAGCATACTGGTTGGACAATCATCCCCCGGATATTTCCAGTACCCAACGGGCACCATACATAGTTATTACAGTATTATTGACTGCATTTCCTATGCTGTATTTCACATCTCCATGACTATTTGTAATCAACAGTCTGTACTTCTCAATCCCTTCATCTTTTTCACCCAGTCCTCCAAGCCCCCTCCCCTCTGGCAACCATCAGTCTATTCTCTGCATCTATGAGTCTGTTTCTGTTTTGTTTGTTCATTTATATTGTTCTTTAAATCCCACATATAAGTGAGATCATATAGTATTTGTTTTTCTCTGATGGACTTATTTCACTCAGCATAAGATCCTTTTCATTCATCATGCTCTTGCAAATGACAAAACTTCATTCTCATTTATGGCTGAGTAATATTCCATTGTATATATGGGGGGGGCAGAAGTAGGTTTACAGTTGTTCATCTGGAAAAGAATAATTAATAAATAATAATGCAAGAATGAACTCTGTTCTGTGTACTCATAACTGTAAACCTACTTTGCCCACACCTGTATGTACCACAGCTTTTCAAAAACCTCAGAGAGAAATACACTTCCACTTTCTTTAAGCCCTTGTTACCTTGGCGTTTCCAGGTATCCCAGCTGGATGTAATGCTCACTAGTAGAGTGAGCAAGACTTGATGCAGAAAGATGAGCTGGGCAACTATTGCAGTGGCAGGGGACAGGTGACAGGAGCCTGAACTAAGGCAGTAGCAGTGGGGAAGGTGAGGAAAACCTGCTAGTGATGGTTGAGAGGATGAGTGGACTGGATTTGATGACTAATGGGTAGGCAGGTGAGAGATGAAGTGACAGCAGAGTAGAGCTTTACACCTGGGTTTCTGGTGTGGATGCCTTGGGGGGAGCATGGAGGAGGAGCCGTGGGCATGGTGAGGAGCCCCTGAGGGAATCTAAAAAGTGAGAACTCCAAGGAGAGAACCTTTGAGAACATTAATAATTTGAGGAGGGAGCAGGGGAAGAGGCGGGTAGGCAGATGACACCAGGACCAAGAGCAGAGAGGTTAATAATGTCAGTCACGAGAAGTAAATTAAGATGAAGAATGAAATCCCAGGGATATTTTCATAAAAGTCACTGTGATGGATGGATGTGGAAGCCAGGTGGCTTAGGAGCCAATGGGAGGTGAGGAAATGGACACTTGACTCTAGGCTGCATTTTAAATGATGTTACTCATGGAGAGGAGAGTGGTTGCCAGAGTGGGATGGACGTTTTTGTAAAGTTTATTTATTTTTATTATTTTTAAGTTTCACATGGCCTGTAGTATGTTTATGGGACTCGGGGCGCAGCTCCTGGTGGCGAGGTTGAGATAAGGGAGAGGGGACCTCTGAGGAGGTGCTGCACGGGGGGAGGATCAGTCTGAGCAAGTTCATTGCTTTTTCTGAGGCTCAGAAAAAGAAGGGAGGTGGAGGCAGAAATAAGGCCTTTGAAAATATTAATTTGGGGGACTGAGGGAGTTTATATTTTTCAGCTTCAATTTTCTTGGTGAGGAAGGAGAGAAGGTTGCCCTTGGGACAGAGTAGATGATGGGACAGTGGTGGGTTTGAGAAGAAGGTCTGAAAGGCCACCGTGGGAAACAGGAGAAACAGCCCAGGGTGACAGGTCTACCTGCCTTCGCATGCTAGCCAGTGGTCGCCTGCATACAATGCAATGATCAAGACCAGTGTGAGGCCAACCAGTGAAGGCCTAGGCCTTGAAACCATAGCTGGTGACGTTGAGCTGAGCTTTCTCACCTCTACTGTCACTGCTTCAGTTAGTGCTGATCCGCAGGAAGGACATCCTGGTACACGTGTGCTGCAAGGGCACAGATGACAGAGCCTTCACCACACCACCCTGCAAGCAGCCTTCCCAAGGGATGAGCACCAATGACGGGTGCACTTGTTATTGGTTTGATTTCCAATTTGATAGCAAGTTTCTAGGGGTGGGGGGAGACAAATCCAGGCCACAGGCCCTCCAGGCTCTCTTCAATGGCCCAGTTGTGGCCTATTCACTGGCAGCAAAGGGAAACTGTTCAGCTGCTGGGGGACAGTTGGATAAAGCCAAAATAGGTCACTGCCTGGAAATGCTGAAGATACCTAGACTGCCATTGTATCTCTTCACCCAACCATTTTGTATGGGATGTTTTGCTTCACATCAGCTTTTGTTTGGTGATCCAAATTCTGTCATGTTTCTGTCAAGTGCTGACTCTTAGAGGTTGGAATTAAGTGTTTGTTGTTGTTGTTTTTAGAGCATTTCCAATTCATCTTACTTCCAGGATTCTAAATGATTTTAGTTGACAAACTGTGGCTACCTCAGCATTGGGACACTGAGGAGTATATGGATCCTCTGTGGCCTGGATTTCCTTTTCTAACTTGGCATAGATGGAATGTTTGTGTCCTTCCACCCCCCAAATTAATATGTTGAAGCCGAGTGTGATGGTATTTGGAGGCGGAGCCTGGGGGAATTAGGGTGAGATTAGATGATAAGGGTGGGGTACTCCTGATGGGATTAGTGGCCTTATAGGAGAAGTAAGAGCCAGATCTCTCTCTCCATGCCCACAGACCGAGGAAAGACCCCGTGAAGACACAGTGGGAAGAGGGCCATCTGCAATGAGCTCTCGCCAAAAACTGCATCAGCTAGCACCTTGATGTTGGACGTCCAGCCTGCAGAACTGTGAGAAAATAAATTTCTGTGGTTTAAGTCACCCAGTCTGTGGTCATTTGTAATGGCAGCCAGAGTTGACTAGTATAGCATCACAATGTAAAAACCAAACAACCAACGAAACAAACAAACAAAGGAAGTAACACGGTCACAGATTTTTACCCAGCCAAGGTCCTTCTAATACTATTAGTAAGAATCTTCCTTAGTTCTTGAGCAGCAGGGCAACTATACGATGCCATCCTTGGAGGGTAGAGGGCCCAAACCTGGCATACAGCCCTTGTCTTCTAGCCTTCCATGTCTTAAGGCTTATGTAGGCTCTTAATCATGGCATCATTAGGGTTAAATTTCAGATGGAAAATTGTATGAAACACATGCTGAGTACATTTGCTCTCAAGTGGTATTAAATCACCTTGTTATTTATTAGCCTCTAGAATGCTCTAATTTACATGTGGTCTCTCCTCCTAGGGGTACTTCAAGTAAATCTGAATTTGTTTATACGATTTTATGGGTACTATAAAACCACAATTGAATCTCAGGCCTTTGTAGTCATCCAGCCTTGCAAGATGCTCTCCAATTAGAAATAATTGCTGTTAATGCTGTTATGAGTGGTGGATGCCCACTACACCCAGACCTTTGTTCTACTAAATCCCCTAAGAGTCTCTTCTTTATGCTTCAGCTAAATAGACGGGCCCCTAGAAGATACGCTTTTGGAATTGTAATAGAGGAGCAATATTGTGCCTCTCTCTTAATTAACCTTGTTAACCAAGGATTTGGAACTTCAGTTGGTTAGTCAGGGGGCCTTTTGATCCTCTCAGTACACATCTCCAGTCGAGTAGGATGTCACTCTTGTGAAATAAGATGCCCTTTCTTCTTTGGCACATACCAAACAGCTTTATTATTCTCTGAGTAATGATGCAATATTCCTCTTTGATGAAATCATGTGTATAAAGTGCTGAGATTCATGCCAGGCACAATAAATATTAGCTATCATTTTTATGATCACAAATCAAGTTTTGTGTTTTTTTTTAAAAAAAGACTTTCTGAATGGAAAGGAAATACAGGAGCAGCATTGTTGGAATCCTACGGACAGCTCAAGATAAACCAGTCCACAGTGGACTCCAGACCCCACATCCCTATTGCTCTAAGAGCAACTTACCCCCAAGATATTTAAACTCTTTTCTTTGGGCTCTCACAGGGTGACCCAAGGTACTGCTCAACCTTTCCTGTTCCCCACACAAAAGGAAGTCAGAGACAAAGGCTGCTGCTTTTCTTGCAAGGCAGGTGCCCTGTCCAGCCTGGGAAGGAGTTCCAGGGTATGGTAATGACCACATTTTGCTTAATCTTCCTTTCATGGTGAAATCTCCAAAGCATGCATGCAGTTGGCCAGTTGATTAAATTGTAATGAAGGCAGCACTGATGAGTGCAAATGCATAAAATAGTCCACCCTGTGGAAAAACATCTCAGCATGAATCCCAACCTGAAATACTAAATGAAACGAACCACATGAGTGTGTCTTCTGGATTAATAGGTGGCAGTTTCTCTAACTCAGTAGAATGTCCTTTTCAGAGTGAGAAGCACCCACTCTTCGACCTCTTTTAGGAAGAAAAATGTGGTCCCATTCAAAGTTTGATGTAGGGTCGCTGCCTACCAGGGATTTCAGGGAATGGACAGTCAGATTCTCCCACAGCGGCCCCCAGTGAACCTCCAGCAGGATTGGCACTTACTCTGTGAGCATCTGGGGCATGGAGAAGCAAGCATTTGTGTGGCTGCTTTGGAAAGATGGACACGGGAGGCTGGCTTTTTCTACACCGGGGAGCACACAGAGGTTCAAAAAGGTTAAGGTGAAGAGCAAGGTGACAGGACATCTAGAATTGTGTGTCCTCTGGAAAGAGGGCACTCCCGCTAAACACTCACCATGTGAGAGGGTTCTCTCTCTCTCTCACGTCCTCTGCAAGCAGAGATGACAAAAATGAGCTGTTTTTATTAATCGTAAATAAAAGCACTCAACAAAAAAGCAGATGGCAACATTATTTTTAAAAGTATTGGCTGAATATTCCAGTCCAGATAGAAGAACACGAATGGTACTTTCCGTCTCCAGATATATTCTATCAGACAAAAATCCTTCCCTTCATTGAAATAAGCAGTATGTAATGTTGTGTTTTAGATGACATCAGCCACAGAGTTGGCCTTTAGTTCTTTTTCTTTCCAATGAAGCCATCCATAAAATTGAAGGCACCCACATAGTCACCTATGAGCATTACCAACTTGGTGGGCAGGATACTAAAGAGAAAACAAGAGAAAACTTTCTCGGTTATCATTCATAAAAGCATCCTTACAGCACAGCTGAACAGCAGTGCCACCGACCTGTTGCAGAATTCACGCATGCACACATGGCTACGCATGCCCCCGTGTCACCCTGGGCTTGTCTACAATGTGGGAGGACACCAGCCCAGGGTTTCTATCCCTCCCTTTGCTTTATTTACATCATTCAACTGACTTCTCACGTCCATTTCCAAAGCTTCCCTATTTTTTATGTATTGATGGGCTGGAAGCAGGGACGTCTCGTGGAGTCAGATGAGCCTGGCTTGAAACCCAGCTCTGTCATGTACAATGTCATCATCGCAGGCAAGTTACTGAGCTCGGGAGCCTCAGTTTCTTCCAGTGTAAAATGAGGTCATTCATCTTTCTTTCTGGGCCTACTGTGAGGATTAGATGCAATAGCTCCTCAGATGGCCGGCAAGTTCCAACTAAGACTGCTCATCTTCTCCACCCCCATGCGTCCCTCCTGACAGAGCACTCTGACGCTGTGGATTCTGACATTCACATTGCAGAGCGAGGAAAGGGGCAGTGAACAGAGCAGGCCCAGGAAACCTGACCCCTGAGCTAAGGGGGCGGGGGATAAAGTAAAGGACCTGTGCTGTCCCTCGGGGGGCACCCCAAGAAACCCAGGCGGTTCCTGCCCTCCCCAGCTTCAGGTCTCTAGTAAATGTTACCTTTTCCAGGAGACCTCCCCTGAGTACCATACTGAAAACTAGACCTCAAGCTGCACCCCCGATCCTACCACTCTGGAATTTCCTTTTCCTGCTTCCTATGTCTTTGTAGCACTTATGACCTCCTAGCATATCTTCTCTTTTACTTTATTATTTTTTGTTTATTCCCTGATCCCTCCTAACTTAACTCAGGTGCCGTGTCGCATATAGAAATTTTTTTATATCTGCAACCATAGTAAAACAAAGATTTATATTTTTGATATTTATTTTATATATTTAAATGCCTTTTAACAAAGAAAAATCAACCAAAAAAATGAGTTCGCGTGTCACCTCTGACACGCGTGTCATAGGTTCGCCATCACTGCCCTAGGAAGATAATTTCCACAAGGGCAAGGACTCTTGTCTCTCTTATCCTTTGCTGTAACCCCCAACCCTAGGGTCGTCAGCAATGCCTGCACACACCAGGCACCCTCTAATGCTTGTGGGATGTTGGAAGGAGTGCGTGCTGTGACCCCCTTCACTGAACTTCTTCATGCTTCCAAAGCCTTCTCAGGAATTATGCAACCCCTCCCCCCCTCAATCCGGGGTTTATATAAGTAAATATCAACTCTGTAATTATTTCAAAAATTAGAAAAATTAAATCCCATGTTCTTTACAGTTGGCATTAACCTCTGTTAGGCAAGTGGAGGCACTGTCCTGTGAACACGCACGCTGCCCAATAAAATCATTACGTTCACTCATTCACAAGCTGTAACAAGCACTGATTTCTACACTGTAAATGAGGAAATTGGACCTGGAGAATAAGCCCGTCATGTTCAGAGTCACGGGCTTAGTACACAGCAGGCATTATAACTCCAGATTTCAATCTCCTTGCCATAGACCCCCTTGCCCCACCCCACACCTTAGCAGTTGTATCAGTCACCACTCCTGTGCTAGGTGAAGCCTGAGGAAATGAAGGCATGGAAGAATGATTTTTGGTTAATTGTATAAAGTAGATACAATTAGCTACAGAGAAAAGACTTTTGCTTATGCAGGAAGGCCACCTCTTTTTTGTGTGTGTCAAGCTCTTCCCTGGAGCTGAAAACACACAAGAGTGAGCAGAAACCAACTGGCGTCTGACCTCCAGGAACTGCCGGCTCAGAGGGGAGGCAGCCGATAATCCAAGGACCTCACAAATCAGGGTGCCACACAGCGGTGAGATGTCTGAGGAGGACAGGCTCAGATGCTAGAAGAGTATGCATTGAAGCCGTTTGGGATATTCTGGAAGGCCGGGGAAGGAATGCTTCAGCTAAGAGGGGGCACAGTATGTGCAAATGCCCTGCACCGTTTCCAGTGCCGGGGACTCTGCGGGTGAGGCTTCTCCTGGTAGGATTGGGGGAAAGTTGTTGATCGGTACATTAGAGAAGTCAGAGAAGCTGGTTGATATTGTTACCTTTTTAAAAACATCAGGACGTATATAAACTTTGGAATACACAAGTACACGTTTTCCTGCAGGATAGCATCTACTATCTTTCTGACCACATACTCTGGTTCCAGAATCGGTAACAGAGAAGGGCAGCTAGGGAGTGAAAAAGAAAAAGACAAAAACAAATACCAACCAAAATTAACAAATTAATAAAAACAGTTCTTGCACATTCAGCATAAAAAGACTGTAAGACATTATCATTTGTTTGCTTGGTTCCCTCCCAGATTTTATCTACTTCTATATTTACTCCCTGATTATCAACATGGTAATGACTGGAATTTGAAATGGAAAATGATGATTCTAATGAATACACTGATGTATAATATGCATATAAGTAAAACCACACGAAATAAACGATCTATTAGGATAAAGCAAGTCTTTGAAAAACGAATTTCCTGTCATCTCCATGAGATGCAGAATGGGGAATTTGTGTCCCTTTAAGTGATTTTCAGTCCTTCTGTGGAATCAGGGATGAGGGGAGGAGGGAGTTGGGTGGCAGAAAGGGAATGTGATTGAATGCTGGGGAGACAGGCGAGCAGATCCAGGCTACAGGGTGGCTGCGAGTGAGACACGGCTTTGATAAACCATTCACATTAAACCCAACATCTTAAATATAAGCACTTCTGAGTAAAAAATAAATTCTGAGACCATTCATAAATCATGCTGAATCCGAGAGAAATTTTTAAACAACTTTAGAAAAGCCCAGCCGAGTGGCTCAGTTGGTTGAGTGTTGCCCTGTGCACCGAAAAGTTGCCAGTTTGATTCCTTCTCTAAGTATGTCCTGAGGTGAGGATTTAAAAAAGTAAAAATAAAAATAAATAGGGGACCCTTTCCCCCTCCCTATGTGGGAGTCTGTCCTTGTTCTTCAATAAATCTCCATCTTTGCTATACAAAAAAAAATAAAATAAAATAAATAAATAAATAAATAAACAAACAGATAGAAAAAATAAAAGAGGCGATTATTTCTTAAAATGCAGTTTCTTTGATCTTACAGGATATACTTACCCAGTAGTACAACCTTCAAACATTCCAGTTTTTATAAAAAATGGGCACACAATAGTGGTTTTGATCCCCTTTATTTTCTGGGCATATAGTTCGAAAAAAATAGATTCAGCAAATCCATAGGCTGCAAATTTACTTGCACAGTAATCTGAAAAAGACAAACAACGCTGAGGTACCTTCTGAAGTTTTAAAAATGGCATTACATTAAGTCTCCTCATAACACGAGCCAACAGAAAACCAGACAACGATTTCAGAGTTCTTGTTTCGTGTGTTGGTCCATCCCGACTGGAAGAAGTGCAGAGTGAGTGGGGAGGTACACAGTCACACAAAGTTCAGTTGATAAAGACCGAGTGGATGCTGGAGAGCCTCCGACAGTCACACTCCTAGCCTTTACTTCCACGTTATGAATGGTCAGACATGTGCTAGCTGTTATATGGGGCACATGGCATGTGCGTCTAGGCCCAAAGAATTTCAGCCCAATTGGGGCAGGAAGGCACATAAAAGAGGAAATATAGTAAGCGATGCAGTAGGCTAGACAAGAGAAGGCAGCCTGGGTCATGATACTCGGATCAAAGTTTCTTCCAACTCTAATTCTTTCTCCCACTTTCAGAAGAAAAACAAAGGACTCAGTAGCTTGTCCCTTTTGAGCTTGCTGTCTTCAGTCACTCTCACTTCAAGTAAACACCTGGATTTTCAATCTGCTGCAGGGAAAAGTTTGGAGTCGAAAAGGCGTGTAGATGAGCTCCTCCTTCCCTGTGTCCCACACAGTCAAACAAGGTAAACATACTTGCTCTGTTCAGAAGCGGCTCCCACAACTGGCAAAAGCCAGGAAATGAGTGCCAGGCGTGGGGATGTCAGGCCGGCTGCAGCTCAAGAAGGCAGGTAAGACCATAGAAGGAGGGAGGGGACAGGAGTCCTGACCCGCTTTTAGGATCATCTGAGTCATTTGGTACAAATGCAGCTCACTGAGTCCCTCAACCCTGGAGACAAATAACACCCTTGGTGATTCTGATGCTGGGGAGCCAAGACCCCCACGGCGGGATTTACAAAAGGCTCACGCTTGTTTCTAAGGCCAGCTGGGGATGGAAGAATCCTTCTGAAGATAGAGAGATACGGCATCAAAAAAAAGATTAACAGAAGCTGTAAATATACCTGCATTATTTCAGAGTTTCATCATTTATCAGACATATACGAGAGAGGCAATGCTAACATGTGATGATTTCTGAGAATGACAGAGTACAGGGAGATGTGCACAGACTGAAAATATTTTGGGTGACTGGTGGTTCTGGAAAACCGCTTCACCTAATTGAGATGAGCTGGGCCTAGACTGGTACTGTGGATCCTGGATTAAGTGGCTCAGCTCCAAAGCATCCGGAAGTGCCTCACGGGAAGGTTGGCCAAAGTTATCCGAGTATCGCAGCTAGGGCTTCTGATGCCCGAGTCTCAGGGATCTGCGTCAGGACACGGAATGTTGCTCCTGGGGACGCCCTGGTAGGGAAGGATGAGACTTCTGCTCCTCCTGGAGCCCCCTCCTGAGTTGGGCTGCCTTCACTGAAGATCTTGGTCTATCTCTTTGCCCCCTCCCCACTGCTAATGACAAGTCAGCTGCAAAGGAGAGGGAAGTGGCAACCATTTCCTTTAAGTCTTCTAATCCGTGGAAAAGCAAAGAGGTGAAGTTTAGGTTTCTTGGGGTGGAGAAATTATCTCCAAACTGACAGCAGGGGGAGACTTCAGAAGGCAGAGCGGTCATTTTTTTACCAACCTGAAAACAGTACCAGATGAATCTTGGGGATGGTGACTATGCTAATCACTTATGTAAAAACAGTCATCAGTAAGGTGTCTCCCCTGTCTCTCTCTCTCTCTCTCTCTCTCTCTCTCTCTCTCATTTTTAAACCCAGGGGACTATGTAAAACCTAATGATTCCAAAGTGCATACTTCAACTTCCGGTAGGTATATCTGATGGGCAGTTTTGATGCATTATGTAGTTCTCAACCACTTCCTTTATTAAATATACTTCTTAATTTTTTATCTTTATTATTGGTGCATCAGGTCAATGCTGATTACTCAGAGCTATTATGTAAGTTAGAGCTAGGGAAAATGTGCAAATGTGAAATATTACACTTTTCTTACCTGCCAGCCCATTTACTCCAAATAATCCAGCTGAACTTGAAATGCACACCAAGTGTCCATGCCCATTAGCGATCATAGCAGGTAGAAAGGCTTTATAAGTCTAGGACGAGCAAAGTAAAACTTTTAATATTTTATACCACATTTTACTCTTTTTCAGATGTTTATATGATCACTGTGATTAAAAAAAATTTTTTTAAGCTCATAAAAATACCTGAAGGCACTGCAATATAAAAACTTAAGTATCTGGAAAGTAACCATCTTAACTGGTTTCACCTATGAAATCAATATTTTCCTCATGGCATACCAATAGTATTACAAATAATTTACTCAAACTTACATTTTGCTCATATTTGATTTTTCAAAACACAATATTAAGACAATAATTGAAGCAATACAGGAGAATCTTAGTTGTGGCAGCCACAATCCAGAAAGGAAAAGATATCATTACTTAGATTATAATCAAGAATAAGATTATTTAGATTTATATTGCTCTTTTTCTCCTGGGATCATATTTGAATTTCAAATTTTTTTTGAACAGAGTTTACAGGACATGCTGCTGTTGGCTTCAGTGTAAAAATATCACTTTGTTTTACATTTATCGCTACTTCTTTGAATAATAGTTTCTTAATTTTGTTCCATGTCATAAAAGAGAATATCTGTTAGAACGAGGGGACGGATACTGTGTTGGAGGACCACAGAACACCTTCACCTTTGATATGGGATTGGGAGAAAGAAGATAAAGGAAAGAGCAATGAGCTTTGGGAGAAGATGTATTCTGCAACAGAGAAATAATTAACCTATACGAATAACTGCATTTTATTTCATAAATTTACATTTCTTTTTTTTTGGCTTAAAACAACACAAATTTATTCTTACAATTCTTTAGGACAAGAGTAAAAGAAGGGTTTCACTGGGCTGAAATCAATGTGTTATCAGGACCACATTTTCTCCAGAGGCTTTAGAAAAAAATCTGTTCCTTTTCCTTTTCCAGTTTCTAGAGATCATCTACCTCCCCTGACTCGTAGCACCCTTCCTGCCAGCAGCCCCA